GGGCCAAGGTGAAAGCAAAGCAAATGTGCACTTCAGCTGATAACGACATGCCAGTATCAGATTGTTACTCATGCGAAGATGCTGACGCTGGAGGGAACCAGATAAGGAGCGTGGGAGTTCACCGTATTCCTCCCCCCCCCCCAGTTTTTCTTCTAAGTTCAAACTATTTTGCATAATTAATGGTGAACAATGGGGCAAGGTGGAAAAAAGTCCCAGTAAACTATAATCATTGCTTGTCTCTGTCATGTGAGAATGATATATATGTGTTTAAGTCTCCAAGTCTTTTCCTTTACCATCTGGAGGTGACAGTGGTCATATCATTGACGACACAAGATAATACAGCTGAAGTTCTGTGCCTAACCCAGAGCTAGTTGCTAACTTCCTGCCTGGTTACTTTATATATTTCTCCGTTCTCATCTCCTGCCTAACGGTAGAAAGACTTCCTCCCAGCTGCACTCTGAGAGGTGGCCACCCATTCATAGCAACTTTCCCTTTATACCTCCGCTCTGGATTGTGGCATTTGAAAAGCGAATTCACGCATGTGTGATTGCTACGAGGGCCCTCTCCAGAAATACGTTTGCTTTCAGGCAGAGCGGTGCCTTTGCTGAGACATGGAGGCAGATGATCCAGGGGACTGGCAGATGGCTGTCTGCCCCTCCTGCCCCTTGCCTTGTAATTGCTGTTCTCCGGACCGGATCACTGCTAACGTTCACCAAGCCGGCCTGGCACGGCACCACAAGGACAATGAGCCAAGGGAGCCGGAGCCAGACTCTTCCATCCCTGCCACCAGCAGGACATCCTAGGGAGAGTTCCTGCTTCCCTGGATGCTGCCATCTTCATGTCCGGGTGTAGAAGCAAATGCCTTTCTATCTCTCAAGATTGTTTTCAGGATCAGCGGATATAAAATAGGAAGGCTAGAGCCCTGCTGAATGTTGTCTTTATGCGGCATGATTTCCTGTCTTTCTCCGGTTATCTCTCTGAGGCAGATGGCAATATTTTCTGTTTTTTTTTCTTCTTTTTTTCTCTTTTTCTTACATCCCAATCGCGGTTCTCCCTTCCCTCTCTCATCCCAGCCCCCCATTCTGTTTCCACCCCCAGATCTACTGTTTCTGTTCAGGAAAGGGCAGATCTTCCATGAGTATCATCAAAACATGGTGTGTCAAGTTGTGGTAAGACTAAGCACCTCCCCCTGTGCTAAGGCGGGGCAAGGTGACCCAGTATGAAGAGGAGGTACCCAAAGGCCGGCAAAAGAATCAGAGACAGCCTGTGCTCCAACTGTTAGCAGTCCGGCAAGAGAACCAAGTTACATAACTGTAACATATATGCATAGTGCCTAGGTCAGTCCCATGCAGGCTTCCTGGCTTAAATTCTAACGAGTCCAGTCAGTGAATGATGTCTATGTCAATGTGTGGGTCTCGTAGCTCCGTTCTCCCGTTTCAGTGCGACTGTTGGCAGTCTGGGAGCGGCAGGGGTGGGCTGACTTGATTGGGACGTTACTGATAGGCTCTTCGCTGCATCTGTTCTTCAGTTAGCCTCACTGCTGTTTCCTTCCGTCATCACGCTTAGAAAGTCAGTTCCTCAGTGTAAGAAAATATTTTCCCTTGTGTGCCTTTTTTCACAGTTGTTGGCTCAGTCTCATGAAAAAGTATATTATAAGGTTTTACGTTATAAGTTTTTTTTTTTTTTTTTCGAGACCCGGCGTTAAGTTTTAACACAGAAGGAGTCACTGAGGAGTCTCGTCCAACTGCAGACTGTTGGAGTGGGTCCGAGACGAGGCTTGGAATTCAGCGTTTCCAGCAAGTTCCAGGTTATGCTAGTGCCCCGGTCTCAGAACATAGCATTAGGGGAAGTTGATAGTCTGCCTATTCTTGATTTCACAGGACTGGCGAACTCTCCCACTGATGCAGACACCCGTGTGAGCACTGAACCGAGGAACGGGGCACGTGGAGCCTGGGAAAGCCTCCCGAGGCTTCTGGGTCGGCAGGCGCCCGGGGTTCAGCCCACGTGCTCTCCCGCTCTGCCTGAGCTCTCTCCAGGCGGAATGTGGTGACAGGACTGAGGGGCCCCAGGCCAGGGGACAGCACATTCGGTGTCCACTGGATTAAGGGTGATAAGCAAACTGACTTTGGCAACTCAAAAAGGGTGAAATTAAACTTCTCTGGTTTGCTTCAAAGGATTGGCTGAGACACACCCCTTCGGTGAGATCACCGGCCCGTGCTTGCTTTGTACAGGCTTGTTTCTCTTCACGCTCTGGAATTCAGTGCGATGCATTAGTCACGAACTTGGGAAGAATTTGGAGTCACAGTGGCTCTGGCTAAATTCGCCTTGACTGTGAGGAGATTAACCAAAAAGAGGGCGTGGCTCTCACCTGTGAGCTCCTCCAATTCCAAGAATATTATGGTTGGCCTCAAATAACTACAGTTTCTCCTGTAAAATCCCAAACAACTATAGGCATCTTGAATGAATTTTCCCTTCCAAAAATCATCATTTGTAAAGTTTAAAATGCTTCATAGTAGAAGTCGATGGCAAAATGTAGGATCATAATTGTCTCAAACCATAAGCTCCATTTTTTTTAAACATAAGGCTTTAATTACCCCTTAGTTTTTGAGTTTTTTGTCTAAGTCTCCAGACCAAGGAACTACTGTCCTCAAGGGATTATATTATACTCTTTTTTTTCTTATAGCGCCTTCTTTAAAAAAAAAAAAAAAGAGAGATTCGTGTATTTATTATATATACAACGTTCTGCCTGTATGTATGCCTGCAGGCCAGAAGAGGGCGCCATATCTCATTACAGATGGTTGTGAGCCAACATGAGATTTCTGGGAATTGAACTCAGGACCTTTGGAAGAGCAGGCAGTGAACACTGAGTCATCTCTCCAGCCCTGGCATTAAACTCTTATGTTTCTAGTTAATGTGCTTGACATGTCCCAAACGGTAATGATAAAAAGGTCTCATTGTACCACTTTATTTTTTTCTGAATGGAGACGTAGTTAATATTTGTGCATCTTCAAGGAACAGCCTGAAGCAATTCAATCCATGAATGCAGCTTGTCAACCAACAATGAAGCTTTGGAGTATTTGACGCTTTAACGGAACTTATTTTTGGGTTTGGTTATGATCATGATCTTTTGCAGGCTTTGTCTTCTTTTTTATGTTTCTTATGTTTCCAAGTTGCAATTTGTGCATTTGTTGGAATGGGTATCTTCTTGTTTGGAGTTGTTTGTTGTTATTATTATTATTATTAATCTTTCCCAAGCAATCACTCATCAGTGCCATTCAGAGCAGAGCCAACAAGGCTGCAGCAGCTATGGCACTGTTCTGGCTGCCGTCCTTTGTGGGTTGAGAGCCCTTATCAGCTTCAGGTCTGTGTCTACTTGAAAAGTTTTCCTCCTTTTGCATCCTGACATTCGCAGCCTATGGCCTGGGCAGGCTTCCTCCTGCTCCAGAGATCTCCTTTTCTGCACAGCCAAAGGCACACGCGTGTTGGGACCATTTGGGGTCCTGGCCTCCAGCTGCTCTTCCCTGCTAGAGATCTTTACTTTCCTTCTGATCTGAGTTACTGAAAGCTGTGTCAAAGTTGTTTACCAGCTCTGCTTCACGAGCCCGTGTTGCCTTGCCTTGAGGATCAGAGGATGAGGTTTTCACCTGTTGGCCCACCTGACTGTGTAGGGTATATAAGCCTCCGTGGTGCTATTGAATAAAGGGCTTCTTACCAGTGACTAGAGGTTCGTGTCTCTGTGTGTTTAAATCTCCAGCCCCTTTCCCGAGGCTCACGAACTGTATGGTAGCGCATAGAGTCCAGTTGGGCGTCGAGCGCTACACATGCGTCCATGCCAAAGGTTTTCCCTAGAGTACAGCAGGGTTGGAAAAACAGAACATTGGGATCTACAAGTAGAGATATGTGGGATCCCAGCACTCTATCTGCCAAGCTCAGCATCTTTATATTCTACACAGCTTACAGCACTCAGCAGGAGGGAGGAGTCCGTGGAAACAGCCATCTGCCAGGCTTGGGTTCAGGACCCTCAGCCCTGTTTGGCACCGAGACTAGGAGACATCTCTAGAGGCCACACGGTCTTGTGGCCACGGGCTTGCAGTTATCAGTCTCTGAATTTATGTTCAGTAATTTCAGTTGGTTTCTTGACACAGAGGGTAGGTCACCAACAACTGGGCTTTATTGCCCAACCTGGATGCTCTGTGTTCACTACACGTCTTCTCTACAGCCTGTGACTGTCTTTCTCTAGATATTGCGGCAGGGAAACTTTAGGTTTTCTGAATTACAGTTGTTGCTTGCTTTCAGGTTTCAAGTATTCCTTGGTCTCAAACTAAAGTCCCCATTTCAAGATGTCATTTAGCTATAAAATAGTTCCCCCCCCCCCCCAGTTGCTTGTCTACTCTTCAGGGCAGTTTATTTGTCACGTGAGGTCCCTCTGCTGTGGGCTTGTGCTATGGCCAGGACTGCTAGGCTGTTTGCTCTAGGACTGCCTGGCTTCTGTGGTTCAGGCTTCTGCTCCTCTCTGCACCTAGCTAGCCAGGCTCGGAACTATGGGATTTTCTCCGTTTTTCTGTGAGTCCTTCTGTTTCTGTGTGCTGTCCTGTCTCCTCTTTGTAATTCCCAATGGTCCTCTTTTTTTCCTTTTCAGAACAAAGCCTGTTTCTCTTCCTGGCTCTACTCACAGCCTCACAGGCTGTGGAGTATTAGTTAAAGGTGTGTCGCATTTGTTTATGCTGAAGATCGTTCCTGTTCGTTTTAATGACGCAAAGATGTGTGGCATTCTTTCGTGTTGCATTTGTTTAACTCTGTGAAGCTGGCTTACTTCGCCTGTCTAAAACACCTGATTGGTTTAATAAAAGGCTGAGTGGCCAATAGTAAGGCAGGAGAAAGGATAGGCAGGGCTGGCAGGCAGAGAAAATAAAAGGAAAGGAAGCCATCTGGGGAGAAGAAGAGATCAAGGAAAGAGAAAGGAAAGAGAAAGGAAAGAGGAGGACTCCAGGGGCCAGCCCCCCAGCCTTCCAGCCACAGAGCAAGCCACAGAGTAAGAAGTGAAGAAAGGTAGACGGAACCCGAGAAAGATTAAAAGCCTGGACGCAAAAGAGAGACAGGATAATTTAAGAAAAGCTGGCAAGAAAGGAGCCAAGGTAAGGCATGACATTTATAAGTAAGAATAAGACTGTGTGATTTATCTGGGAGCTGGGTGGTGGGACCCCCAAAAGAGTAAAAGAGTAAAAGCAATTAACTACAATCACAGGCTTAGCTCCTAAAGCATGTGACCTGATTTGCATTCTGGTCGTAATTTGATTTCTTTCAACATTTAATGAGATTGAACATTTTTCCATATACTTGTTAAAAACATTTTTGTATCTTTTTTGAAACTTACCTATTCAGATCTTAAGCCAATTTTTTAATTGTATTATTTGTATTTGTGTATTTTTTGGTTCATTTTCTGAGACAGGGTTTCTCTGTGTAACAGTCTTGGCTGTCCTGGAACTCGCTTTGTAGATCAGGCTGGCGTTGAACTCTTAGGGATCCACCTGATTCCACTTTCCGAGTGCTGGGATTAAAGGTGTGCTCAGCCACCACTCGGCTATTTGTTTTTTTAATTGTTCACTTTTTTGAGTTTCTTAGATAATTTGGGTATACTGATCCCTTGAATAGTATACAAATGTTTTCCCCCATTTTGTCTCAATTCTTCTTTTGTGGTACAGAAATGTCTGAGCTTGGCATGCTCCTCTTTAACTGTTTTCACCTGTCCTTGTGCTTGCCAGTTTTTTTCTCCAACCACGGCGCCCATGCACACGTGCAAAGCAATGTACAAAGTCAAGTTCAATGTGTGTTAAAATGAAAAAAGAAATCAGTTGGTTGTGTAAACATGGGTTGATTTTTGGGTTCTCCATTCTGTTCCATGTGCCTGTTTTTCTATGAACGCCGTGCTATTACAATAACTTCGAAGGTTGTTTGAAGACAGGTGTTGGATTTCTCACTATTTACCCTCTTTCAGGATCACGTTGGTTATTTGGGTCTTTTGCAGTTACATATGAATTTTAGATTTGGATATTTTTTTGTTTTATTTTTGTGGAGAGTATCATGGGTATTCTGATGAGAATTGCAATGCCTCTGTAGGTCACTTTGGATGATTATTGTGACATTATCTCTTCTCGTTGAATATGGAATAATGTTCCGTTTGTGTGTGTCCCTATAATTTCTCTGGTCAGTGTTTTATGCTTTTCATTAGAAAGCTCTTTTACTTTTAGTGAAACGTATTCCTAAAATTTTGCAACTGTTATTTTCTGGGTGAATGACTCTATTAATTGGTTAGTCATTTCCTCAGAATTGAAACATTCCCGCTGGAGGCATGAAGGAGGCTCAGGAAGTAGAGAAAACTTACAAGGCCTAGGAAACTCCTGAAAATGAAATGATTTACATGATCCATGCCTGAAATTAAAAAATCAGTGGACAAGTACTGGAGAGAGAAAATGGTTCTAAGTTAGTCGAGCCACGGGGAAGGGGTGCAGGAAGCTGCTGGGGCTTTCGTGAGATGTCACCTTCGCCTGGGTGGGAAGCTGCTTGAGTGTCACCCAAACTCCTGCAAGTAACCCCTGTCTACTACTGTAGTGACCCCAATAAACTCACTGCTCCACCTAACTAGATGTGGTGGAGTCATTGCCCTGCCCAGGGTAAATAAATTTAGGTTCATGTCTACCTAGGAAAAGCTGTATGATATCAAGTATTGACATGTTAGATTCTAGCTTTCCCTTTGGATCTAATAATATTTAATTATTTAATGGTGTCATGGTGGGTACATATTTTTTAAGTAAATAGTACATCATCTTGTTGAATTCTTTTATCAATATATAATGACCCCCTTTATTTATGTATTTTTGATTTTTAGTGTGCTTTTAATAGGAACATGCCCATTCCTCTTGACTTCGGGCTTCCTTTTCTGTTTGGTATCATTTCCTGATCATTTGCTTTAAATTTTTCCAGTATATTTCCTAGTGAAGTAAGTTCTTACAGGTATTGTACGTTTAGGGTTTTAAAAATTATTTAGGCTGGAGAGATGGCTCAGTGGTTAAGAGCTATTGCCTGCTCTTCCAAAGGTCCTGAGTTCAATTCCCAGCAACCACATGGTGGCTCACAACCATCTGTAATGAGGTCTGGTGCCCTCTTCTGGCCAGCAGATGTATACACAGGCAGAATATTGTATGCATAATAAATAAATATTTAAAAAAAATTATTTAGGCTGACTGTGGTGACACATGCCTTTAATCCTAGCACTCAGGAGACAGAGGCAGATGGACCTCTGTGAGTTTGAGGCCAGCCTGGTCTACAAAGTGAGCTCCAGAACAGCTAGGGCTGTTACACAGAGAAACCCTATCTTGAGAAACAAACAAACAAAAGCAAAACAACATTTTAGCCAGTCTGTATGTTTTGATTGGTAAATTGGATCCATTTACATTCAAGTGTAACATGATGGCTAATGATGTTGATTCTTTAAGTGTTTCTCAGATATTTGAGTTCCCTCTATTGAGAATTTTTGCTTAGATCCGGGCTCCATTTTGCAATTGGATTGTTTGTTGATGCCTAGTTTCTTGAGTTCTTTATATATTTTGGATATTAACCCTCTATCAGATGTAGAGTTGGTGAAAATCTTTTCCCATTCTGCAGATTGACATTTTGTGCTGCTGATGGTATCCTTTGCTTTACAGAAGTATTTCTATTTCATGAGCTCCCCTTCGTTAAGGGTTGATTTTAGTGTTCATGCTATCTGTTCAGGAAACTGTCTCCTGTGCTGTTGTGTTTAAAGGCTGTTCCCCAGTTTATCTTTTGTCAGCTCAATGTGTCTGATTTAAAGTTGAGGTCTTTGGTCAACTTGGGTTTGAGTTTTGTGCAGGGTGATAAATATGGATCAATCTATATTCTGCTACATATGCAAACATCCAGTTAGATCAGCACCATTTGTTGAAGATGCTTACCCCCCCCCATTGTGTATTTCTGACTTCTGTATCAAAAATCAGGTGTCCATAGGTTTGTGGATTTATATCTGGATCTTTGATTTGAATACATAGATCAACGTGTTTCTTTTATGCCAATACTATACAGTTTTTTTTTTTTTATTACGGTAGCTCTGGAGTACACCTTGCAATCAGGGATAGTGATACCTCTGGAAGTTCTTTTGTTGTTAAGGATTGTTCTAGCTATCCTGGTTTTTTTTCCATATGAAATTGAGTATTGTCCTCTCGAGTTCTGTAACGACTTGTGCTGGGATTTTGATGGGGATTGTGTTGAATCTACAGATTGCTTTTAGTGGGATGGTCATTTTTACTATGTTTATTTTACTGATCCACGAGCATGGAAGATCTTTACATCTTCTTATATCTTTTCCAATTTTTTATTCAAATATTTGAAGTGCTTTTGTCATACAAGTTTGTCACTTATTTGGTCAGGGTATTTTATATTGTTTGTAGCTATTGTGAAGGGTGTTGTTTACCTGATTTTTTTTCCCTCAGTCTGTTTGTCATTTGTATATAGAAGGGCTATTGATTTTTTAAATAGTTACTCTTGTATTTAGTACTTCAATGAAGGTGTTTATTAGCTAGAGGAGTTTCCTGGTAGATTTTTTTTTGGTTGCTTCTGTGTACTACCATATCATCTACAAATAATGACTCTTTTTGACTTCTTCCTTTCCGATTTGTATTCTTTTGATCTCCTTCAGTTGTCTTTTTGCTCTGGCTAGAATTTCAAGTACTATGTTGAATACGAAGAGAGTGGAAAGCCTTGTCTTGATCCTGATTTGAGTGGAATTGCTTGAAGTTTCTCTCTGTTTAATTTGATGTTGGGTATAGACTTGCTGTAAATTGCCTTTACTGTGTTTGAATATATTCCTTGTATCCCTAATCTTTCCAAGACTTTTATCATGAAGTGGTGTTGGATTTTTCAAAGGCTATTTCAGATCCTTATGAGATAATAATGTGGTTTTTATTCTTTTGGTTTGTTTATATTGTGGATTACATTGACACATTTTCATATCTTGAACCATTCCTGCCTCTCTGGAATGACGCCTACTTGTTCGTGGTGAATGATCCTTTTGGATTGGTTTGTGACTATTTAGTTGAGTGTTTTGGCATCTATGTTCAAAAGGGAAATTAGTTTGTAATTCTTTCTTGTGAAATATTTGTCTGGTTTGGCTGTCAGGGTGACTGTGGCCTCCTAAAATGAATTTGGCAATATTCTTTTTGTCTCTATTTTGTGAACTAATTTGAGGAGTATTGTAGTTAATTCGTTTTTTAAAAGTTTGGTAGAATTCTGTGCTAAACCCATCTGGCTCTGAGCATTATTTGGCTGGGTGACTTTCAGTGACCATTTTTATTTCCGTAGGGTTTATAAGTCTGTTTTTCTGATCTTGATTTAGCTTTGGTAAGTGGTATCAATCGAGAAAAATGTATCCATTTATTTTAGGTTTTCCAATATTGTTGAGTAAAGGTTTTCTGACCTGATGATGCTTTGGATTTCCCTGACATCTGTTGTTAGGTTCCCCCCTTTTTGATTTTGTTAATTTGCATATTCTCTCTTTGTCTTTTAGTTTGGATGAGGGTTTGTCTATTTTGTTGATTTTTCTCAAAGAACAAATTCTTCATTAATTTTTTTTGGATTGTTTTCTTTGTTATTATTTGATTGATTTCAGCCCCCAGTTTAATTATTTCATGCCATTTACTCCTCTTAGATATGCTTGCTTCTTTTTGTTTTAAAGCTATCAAGTGTGCTTTTAAGTTGCTAGTATGAGATCTTCATTTTTTATATAGGCATTTAGTGCTATGAACTTCCTCTTAGCACTACTTTCATTCTGTCCTATAAGTTTGGGTATATTGTGTATTCATTTCATTAAATCCTAGGACATCTTTAAGTTTTCTTTATTACTGTCTTGATTCTATTTTAATTTAGTAGACAGTTGTACAGTTTCCATGAGTTTGCAATCTTTCTATTATTTCTGTGCTTCTTGATACCCAACTTTAGTCCATGGTGGTCTGATAGGATGCATGGGGTTGGTTGCTTTGTTTTTCTTGATATTTTTGTTGATATAAGACTTGCTTTGTAATTGAGCATCTGGTCAATTTTGGAGGAAGCTCTGTGAGGTGCTGAG